TCTCTTCCTGGCAAATTCTCCCCCTCCTCCTGGATCCAGCCGCTCTCATAATAGCATCCTTTTCATGGAGACAAATTGTCCAGCCGGGGGCTGCACCTGAGGGCTTTCGCCCTTTAACAAATAGCCTTTTAATTTTCTGCCAGAAGGGCATGGAGAGGGGGGGAGAGGGAAAAGGGGGGGCCGGAGAGGGGGTTGCAGAGAGGAGAGAGAATCAATCAGACATCCATCTTCATCATTGCTGCCAAGGGACCATTTGCACTGGCTGGATGCCCCTGGGGAAGGTGGGGTGAAAAAGAGAAGAGGTTGGGGTGAGGGGGGGGCAGGAGGCAGTGAGGGGCTGGGGAGGGAGGAGAGCCACAGAGCTCCACACCGAATGGTTGCCCTCCAGAAAAACAAACAGCAGCACTTGGAGCCCAGGGAAGGAAGGAGAGGGATGTTTTCCAGCTCTGACTCTGATCTCCAAAGAGGTTGGGTCAAACCCAAAAGTAAGTCAGCAGCTCTGGCCCAGGGCAAAGCGGCAGCCAAGGGGAGCCAGTTCAGGGCATGGGAGATGCCCATTCCTGGAAGTGGGGAGCTCCAGGTGAGATGAAGAACAAACAGGCACGGGGAGAAGCTCCACCAGCACCTTCTCCTTCCAGGATGAGCTTAGCACAGCACTCACAGCTTCTACAGCAAGGCAGAGAGGTCAGAAGGGCTGGAGATTCTCCTCTCCCCGCTGCCTGTACAGCAAGGAGGGACCAGCAGGTGAAACCACCTCATCTTTTGCCTCTCCTCTCCTCCAGATTCTCTCCTGCAAAGGGATATCAAGCCACGGTATCAGCTTTAGCTGGAATCTGTCGCCTCTCCCACCAAAAAAAAAAAAAAAAAAAAAAATAAGCAAGGAGGTTAATTAGATGTTTGCAATCCAATTTACGTCTTGTTTGTGAAACCAGCATTTCAGCTGTAACCCAGCCTGGGAGCCCCCCGTGCCCTCGCTCCTTTGCTAAATTTATTTCACAGCTTTGCAGAACTGCCTCAGCCGGGTCAGAACTCTTCCATTATCATTTTATCGCTGCCTCTTACTCTGTAATTACAAGCTGCTTCCCTCACCCCCTCCCTCCTCTCATTCCCCAGCCCCCTCCAAGCACAAGGTGGGAGATGCTGGACTTGCTTTAAGCTTCTTGCACGATTTGTCTCACCCACTGAGGCCGGGGACAGCTTGGCCCTGGTTTCAGCAGATAAGCCAGGGAGGGTGGCTGGGGAAGCAGGGGGAGGACGCTGCTCTCCAGTCCCCCCTCCCCAAGGATTAAAATATTCAGATGCAGCGATGAATAGCAATGAGAGCTGGAAATGAAGGCCTGGAAACTCAGCGTTGGAGAGGTTGGAGTCAAGCTGGCAGGAAGGAGATGAGCTGCAGAGTCATGGAAGGCTGTGCCACATCCCCTCGTGTGTCCTGGGCCGACCCTCAGCTGTTCCCAGGGACTGGCTGGGAGGGAACTGGTTGGAATGGGCCAGAATTGTGCCAGGAGAGACACAGAGACGTGCAGAACTCTGCCCTATGCCCTGTGGAAGCGTGCAGAGAGGCTTTGGGAGCCCAGCTGGCCAACATTCCCAGCAAATCCCGGGGGGAGGGAAGGGTCCTTGAGGAGCATCTCAGATGCAGAGCCAGGAACCAGCATCTCCCTGGGCTTCCAGCAGCTCCTCTGTGCACACAGGACACACAGCTGTGGGGACTGGAGTGCCAGCAGAGGGCTGTCCCCAGCCAGCAGGGTCACAGGGCCCCGCTGGCAGATCCAGAAGCCACAGAGCAGCAGGATCCCCACACCAGGTATTGTATCCCAGACCCCCCCCAGAGCACCAGGCTCCAGCAAGGGGAAGGGGCCACATCCTCCCCCGGGAAGGACCAAAACTCAGGCTGAAGGGCTGCCCTGGGGAAGTTCAGGGAGAGGAAGGGAGGGGCAAAGGGATGTCCACACCTCTGGGGCTCTGTAACGTGGGGAAGAGGCATCCCAGGACTCCAAAAGTGACTTTGGGATGGAGGTGGCCACTGTCCCTGCCCTGGGAGAAAGAGCCACTGCCTTGCTGTGTGGACAGGGCCCGGATGCAGCTGGACACAACCAGCAGGGCCCTGCTTTGTTGGAAAATTTGGCTTCCTTTCAGTCACCTGTGAGCACAAATCAGACAAGAACTCGCAGGCAGCATGAATACACACACACAGGGCCAGCTCAATTGCCCATAAGAAGGTTCATGTAATTAACAGGCAGCCAGCTTTTCTTTCATGTGACAAAGAAAGGATGGGGAGGGTATTTTTCTGTACCCATCCCCTGAGAGCAAGTTCCAGCAGGAGAGCAAGTTCACAGGAGCAGGGAGCACAGCACAGCCTGTGCCCAGGACCCCAGGGGCAGGGAGGGATGCACCACAGGCCCTTTTGCTCGGCCCTGATTGCCCTTCATGCACAAACTGGGTCCTCTCCCATCCCTGGGAGAGTGAAAGCCTCTCCTCTGCTAAACCCACAGTGCAGGGAGCCCTGTCTGATGGAACGGCCCGAGGATGGATCCTTCTGCTGTGCCACACTCTGAGCAATCCCCCAGCCTGTGCTGGGACACCCCCAGCATCGCTGGGGCCAGCATTTAACTCCCATCCACCACAAACACCCAGATTCCCAGCCTGGAGCACACCTGGCTGTGCTGTCCAGCCCTCAGCCACACAGCCAGCACCGAGCACAAAGACACCTCGCTCCCTCCCTAAGACAAAGATCAAAACCCCTGCTCGGAGCCGAGGATGCCACCCCCTCCCGCCGCTGCTGGAGGAACATTAAAACCCCATTAACCCGGGGTTGTTATTAATCATGCGACATTACCCGGTGGGGACAGCCCTGGCTGTGAGTGCCCGGGCTGCTGCCGGCTGCCCCGGCCCGGCTCCGGGTTGACAGGAGAAGGTGGGATTGCTTTAGCACCGTGCTGGAGAGCCAGCTCCACATAATGAATTTCCCGCACGAGGCAGCGCAGGGAAGCTGCGCTGAGATTGGAAATAATCACCCCGAGGCAAGGCAGGGAGCGGAGCGCAGCCGCCTCTCACCCTGCGGAGGATAATCCCCTTTGTGACTGGGCTAAGGGCAAGGCGAGGAAAGCACCATTTATCATCTGCTTGAACCGCATCCATCCTCCCGAAGATGATTTCCAGTCCTGCTGCCGAGCAAACCCAACGGCAGGCAGAGATCCCAGGCCAAAACCGACCCTGGAGCTCGGGAGATGGTCACTTGGAGACCTCCTGGGACACAGAGGGGATGCCTTCAGCACGCTCTGGACAGGTTAATGCCAGGAGAGCCAGGCTCTGCGTGCATGGAGGCTGAAGCCCCATCAGGCCCTCACAGCTCCGTGATATTAAAGCTTTCCCCTCATGCATAGAGGCAGGCAGGGGGGCTAATTGCCTCTTATGACACTATAATGGTAGGACTATTTACACTAGATTAAAATCCAATTCATAATGAGGTATAATAACTTTGCAAATGCCAGGATTTGTCAAAGGGTGAGGAGCGCCACCGAGACAGAGCCCAGCAGCCTCGGACTCGGGGTCTGAGCCCTGCCACGAGAGGAAGGGGCTCTTGGCAGAGCGAGGGTGGGGTTTTGTTGGATTCTCCCTCTTTGGTAGCTTCTTCCATAGGTTAAGCAGAAGGGAAGGTGGAAGGGGATGAGCAAAGGGCTCTGTGGTGCCTGCAGTAGGGGAAATGGGTGTGCACGAGGCTGGATCAACCACCGAGCCGCTGGCCTTTACCTCGGGAACAGAGCTCCTTCCCAGGGAAGTTTTGTTCCAGACTCCCACAAACCGAGGTCACATTGGGATCCAGCAGGTGCCAGGGGTGCTGAGGCAGCCTCTGGGCCAGGATGAGGTATGGAAAACCTCCCCTGCTGGATGTCACACCCTCAGAAACTCACCCTCCCTGCCCAGTGACCCTTCCCAGACCCCCAGCCCTGCCCCAGCACCCCTCCAAGGCCAGAGCACACACACACAGCCCCAGCGCTGCCCTCTCCCCCTGCTGCTGCTCCTGCCATCAGGGGGGATGTTTGTCCCACAGGAAATCCAGGGCTGGGATTGGATCCAGCCTGGATTTGCTCCGTGCTCTCCATTCCGTGTTTACGGATGTGACCTTGACTGAGCCCGGCAACACATCACTCCTGACGCGCTCCAAAGAGGTATTTATTTATTCCCTGCCAATGACACGGACTGATGGTGCCCTCTGAATTCCAAATAGTGCTCGGCTCTGTTCTGGCAGTCTGGGTGGCTCTGCTGGAGAACAGGCAGAGGAAAGAGCCCAACAAGCTTTGTTGGCAAAGGGAACGTCGCTGCCGGATCCCGGGGCTCTGTGCGATCCCTGGGTGCCCCGAGGGGGCTCGGTGTAGTGCTGGGGGTTCAAGGAGCAGAACTCAGGTGTCCCATGGCCACAGAGGTCTTCTGATGGATATCAGCCCCAGAGAGTGCTCCAAAGGCCTTGCCATCACCAGAGGGGAACTGCAGAAGACAAGTCCCAGGCCAAGTGGAGATGAAGGGGTGCTCAGGTAGGCGCCAGCTCCGCTGTGCTGACGTGAGTCGCTCTCCCAATGCCACCAAGCTCTCCAAGCCTTCCCACACCTCTGTTTGCATCCAAAAGCAGCCATCTGCTAAAAACCCTGATGGCAAAGCCTCCAGAAAAGCAGTTCCTCAGCACACGTGGCTGTGAATTCGTCCCTCGTCCTGCTGGACACTCAGTACCCCCAGCTTGTGGCTGCTGGGTCACACTCACCAAGGACAAGCAGAGCTGGAAGGAATATTGATTTCCTGAAGGGTGAGGCCCTCTCCTCCAAATAAACTCTTCCCTGATGGGATGACTGGAAGAGCTACCCTGTGCACAGGAACACAGGAGGAGAAGTGAGTTATAAAAATAGCAAAAACCTTAACACACCCCGTGATCAGAAGAAAATCATCTGAGCCTCAAGCACAGCAAAACCAAAGTGAATCACACCAAACTCACACTGACCTCAGCAAAGTCTCTTCCTGGCTCCACAGAGCATTGTCCTCATGCCCAACATGAGCATGTCCCATTCCCAGGGCACAGCAAGCCCCGTTCCAACCTCTCCAAGGAATGTGGGAGGCTTTGGGTTGGATTGAAGGCCTGTCCTCAGCAGCTCCTGCTGGTGGCAGAGCCAAGAGAGTCCTGGCAGCCACAGGACTGACTGAGGAACCCTCTGTCCTTGGAGGGCGTGAACTGCCCACCAGACCCAGGGCTCTGCAGGACACAGGGGGTGTGGGGAGAGGGGAGAACAGGTGGCTGCAGGTAGGGACAGGTGTGGTCACCACCCTATGGAATGGGCACCTGGACAGACCCTGCCTCATTCTGGGGCTGTCAGGTGTGAGCGAGAACCCCAAGAAGCAGAGCTGCTCCTCCCACAGTTATAAAGACCCTTCCCTAAGGGGAGGCAGGAGATGCTCATGTGCTCCAGCAGAACACACGGATGTTGGATGTATAAATCCACTCAAGCCGTAAAAGAGGAGATGTGGAGGAGCCCAGCAGAGGGAATGAGGCCCAGGAACACCTCCGGCCGCATGGCATCTCCAGCAACGATCCAAGAAGCTCCTTGGCCAGAGTTTGAACCAATTATCTTCTGGCAAACGTGCTGCCCTTCGACTCACCAGCCCTGAAAAGAAAAACACCGTTTTCCCCATTCTGTTTTTGTTTGTGAGAGCGAGAGCGAGTGGGAGCGGGCGGCGGAGCAGAAAGGGATAGAGGGGATGGCACTGCATCCCAATTGGAAAGAGCCAGTGGCCACTGCCCAAGTAAAATTCCAACTTTATGACATAATGGGCTTTTTCTAACCAGCGCTCGCTATTAACTTCAGCACTGGCTTAAACCCCTTGGCCTCAGGCACAAGCAAAGCAGAGCTCACACACTGTAAATGTTAATACTGCTTTAGCACTGTAATAAGCTAAAAGGTGGATGCAAGATCTGGCACATTAATTCCTTTTTTCATCTTTTTAGCACATTTCAGGGTAATATGAATAATAAATATTTGAGCTCATGAAGGTTAACGGATGGATAACCCTGGAGACTGGGACTCCCCAGGTAGGAAGGCAGCAGTTCCTTCCCACATGTCAGTGTTTCCAGCAGCGAGCCAGGGAATTTGCCTCCTCCTGAGAAGTCAGAGTTTCCTCTTGGCAGGGAAGTGTTTGACATTAAAACTTATTGCCTGGCACACTTGTGCACACTTTAAATGTTTGGGCTGGGGGGTGAGTAGAGGTGATGTTTCCAAGCATCACGGGGTAAATTTGTAGAGAGGGAAACCTTCTCCATCCCAGCACAAGCTCTGTTCCCACTGAACCAGAGCCAGATTTGCTCAGCAAAGCTTTGTAGGCATCTAATTCCTGCTGCAGCCAGCTCTGGGTTCACCTGGCCTGAGGCTTGGTGGCAGGGCAAGGGAGTTGAGCATGCACCTCCAGAGTTTGAAACTCCAGCTGAGGGAATGTCCTAAAGGCAGAGCACCGCGTGGACCTGACCCAGCTGCCAGCATCAGCCCCAGGGCTGCTGGCCTGGCCTTGTTCTGCAGGTTCTGGGTCTAAATTAGAAGGCTTTGATGTCTGTCACACAACGCCCTAAGGAGAGCAGCTGGGTGAAAAGCTCTGCTGGAGCTGGCACAGCCCTGCACATCCCCTCTGGATTACAGAAATGTGGAGAACAGGGCTTTGGGAGAAACTCACACTGCTTTGGCACCCGGTCAGGTGCCACAGGAGTGCCCCAGCTCATCCCTGAGCCATGTGTCAGCTTCCAGGGAAGCAGCCTAGAATGGATGAGGAAAATCTTCTAATCCCAAACAAGGACCATGTCAGGAGAGAAAGGATAGGTCTGGTGGCCCAGGGAAGGGTTTGAGACCTGTGCTTAGAGAGCAAATGGTGGAATGTGAGAATTCCCATTGCTTATCTATCAACAGAGACCTGGCAGATAGGAGCACTTGCTGGGAGAAAAGGGCTGGGGATGAACAGGAGTGTGATCCCTTGGGATGGAGGATGTGGGGGGCTTTCCCAGATTCCATCTGCTCTTGCAGCTTTGTCTTCCTGACCCTCACAGTACAGACAATGCCTGAGGTGCCATGTCTGACAAGCCACCTTGCTGGGAAGGCCCCGATATTCCAGCAGAAATCCTGCTGCCACTTTCCTCTCTGCTGCCAGTGGGTGGGCAGGGACACTGTGGGACCCTGGGCCAGCCAGGGCACAAACCCTCCCCGGCAGCCAGGGGTGTCAGGACGGGTCACCGGCAGTGAAGGTGCAGGAGGAAGGTCCTGGCTGTGCAACAAACGCGGTGCAGGGATGAAATCCCATCCTGCTGCAGGGGCTGCTGGGGACAGAGACCCTGCACCCCCCGCTCAGATCCCGGCTATTCCCATCCCCACCAGCGCCCCAGGAAACCGGGATAGGCAGAGAGGGCTGGGCTGGTGCTGCCCAGGGAGGAGAGCCGGGGGGTTGGCAGGGCTGGAGGAGCCTCGCTGGATGGAAAGGAGAGAGCCAGGAGGGCACTGGGGTGATCCGGGACCCTCAGCAGGGAGCAGCTCCTGGCAGAGCGCGGCTGGGGAGCAGGGCTGGGGAGCAGTGCTAGAGAGCAGGATGGCCAGAGCACGATGGCAGGAGCAGGGCAGGGCTGGGGAGCAGTGCTGGGGAGCAGGATGGCCGGAGCAGGATGGCCGGAGCAGGGCTGGGCTGGGGAGCAGTGCTGGGGAGCAGGGATGGGGAGCAGGGATGGCAGGAGCAGGGATGGGGAGCAGGGATGGGGAGCAGGGATGGGGAGCAGGGATGGGGAGCAGGGATGGGGAGCAGGGATGGGGAGCAGGGC